AAGTGTGAATAAAAAAATCGATTTAATCAAAATATCAATTAGTAAGTTGAGATAGTCCAAACTAAAGACTTGCTAGTATATTATTTGATCTAATATAATAATCTTGCTAATAAATCAAGAAATATTGGGAGGGTGAGGACGTACGGACAATATCACAAATAATTTTTTTTCAGGGGTTTAAAAATTAAAAATAATAAGTAATACTTAATTAATAAATCACAAAGTCTTCAGGGGTATATACTTAAAAATCCTCCAAAGATCAAATCAGAGGAAAGGCAAAAAGAAATTATCACGAAAAAAAACTAAATATAATAATAATAATAATAATAATTAATAAATAAATAAATACATAAAAAAATAGCACCGGTAAAATCACCACTCAAGCGCGTGATTTGAGCTGCCAACTCATAGATTGACACGTCAACAAGTGGGTCCCCCCCACCGTCACATTCTCTCTCCTGCCCTATAGTTGCCCAACTTTTCCACTTCCCGGTACATGAACTGATTGCTTTTTCTCTTTTTAGATGCTAAATCCTTAAATTACCATATATCATCTTTATTTCAAATCATTAAATTACCATATCATGTTAAAAAAAGTATGTTTGCTTGATCAAATCATTTCCAACGTGTAACGAAAATATTTGTTATATTAAAGATGAGAAATCACGTTTTCACTTATGAACATAAGTTTTTTATTTGTACAAATATCACAATTCTTAATTCACACTATTGCTTAATCATTATTGTAAAAAATAATAATACTTTGATCGTAGAAAATATTTAGATCCTATGATCAAAATATATGTATATTATATGTGTTTTTACATTCCATAAAATTTATTACTCGATTATAACTAATTTTTTCGATTAGTAAAAGAATTTTATCTACCAACTAAATTTTATATAAGCTTAGGATGACAATTTAGCATTTCTAGTTTCTTAGCTAATCTAAGCTTCACGCGCATTTGTATTATGGAGAAAGTATATTCATTTGTATCAAATAAATTAATTTAATTTGTTGGATGAATCGAATCAAATAAGTTAGTTGTCATCCGATAAAATTATTATATGTTACACGTTTTAAGTCCTACTAAGTACTAAAAAATAGTCAAAAATATTTTTTTAAGATAAAATGCTTTTCATGGTAAATATTTTTAATTTTTAATAAACAACATTTTATCTCATTCTAAATATACCTTAAATACCGTCAACTTCCACATGGGCATTTTGGGTAGCTCAAGTTCCCTGACCACATTTTCCGGGCAGCCCCTTGATATGCTTTTCTCGGTCTTCGATTCCATTGCAAGAAAAAGGTAAGAGCGCCGATAATTCATAGGTTTATTTCCCTTATCACTTTAAATTTTCATTTTTGAATTATTAATTATTAATCATCTTTTATTACGGATAATAGCACTTTTGATTCCTTAGTTATTAGTAATTTTGATTTTAGTCCTTGTACTATTTAATAAGTACACTTAACCTTCACTTAATTAGATTATACATTTTTGTCCTTTTATGTAGGAAAATATTATATTTGAATCATAACAACAACATACCTAGTATAATCTCACAAGTGGGGTTTGGAGAGGATAGTATGTACGCAAACCTTACCCCTACCTCGGGGAGGTAGAGAAGCTGTTTCCAAAGACCTGCGGTGTGATGACCCAAAGGGTCATTTTTGCTTCAGAATCCAATCCCGTGTTCCGAGGCCTTGAAAACCTCATTCTCTTTCTCCTCGATTTACGTGCGCAGTCCGGCCGTATTTCCGGAAAGCCTTTATATGAGAATTTGAGAAAAATATTGAGTTTTGCTTTTAAAATTGATTTAAGTTGACTTCGGTCAACATTTTTAGTAAACGGATCCGGTCCCGTGATTTGACGGTCCCGCAAGGTTGGTAGAAAAATATGGGACTTGGGCGTATGCCCGAAATTTGTTTCCGAGGTCCCTAGCCCGAGAAATGAATTTTTGAAGAAAATTATTAACTAAAAAATATAATGGTTTTTGGGAATTGAATAATGTTTGATATTGTTGGCATCGGGCCGGTATTTTGGTTCCGAGCCCGATACAGGTCTATTATGATATTTATACCCTATCTGTGAAATTTGGTGAAAAACGAAAGTGATTTGACGTGATTCGGACCGTTGGTTGAGAAAATAGAAAGTTTGAAACTATCTTGAAAATTTCATGCGTTTTGGTGTTGAATTCATAGTTCTAGGTGTTGTTTTTGTGATTTGATCGCATGAGCAAGTTCGTATGATGTTTTAAGACTTGTGTGCATGTTTGGTTTGTATCCCCGATGGCTCGGGTGAGTTTTGGATAGGCTACACAATGATTTTGGACTTGAGGAAATTGTTGGTGTAACTGGAACCTATTGCAGGCCTCTGATCTCGCAATTGCGAGATCAGGCTTCGCAATTGCGAACAAGTCAGGCATGGCAATTACGAGGTCTTCATCGCAATTGCGAAGAAGGCCTGGGCCAGCAGGGTTCGCAAATGCGAACATATCTTCGCAATTGCGTAAAGAGTCTGGGTAGGGGTGTGATCGCAAATGCGATCCTTTTGTCACATTTGCGAAGGTCCCTGATTGCAATTGCGATCATTACCTTCGCAAATAGAAATGTGGGGAACCTCGCAATTGCGATGGTTCTTCGCAATTGCGAAGCTCAGGTCGCAAATGCGACATTTGCAGCTGTTCAAAACATAACTTAAACGAGATTTTTGATTCTTTTCTCAAATTTTCAAACCCTAAGCTTCAAGAGGCGATTTTCCTAGAGTAAGTTCTTCCCCAAATCATAGGTAAAATGATTCTTAACTTATTTCTTTCAATCTATTTCAACTTTTCACAAGATTTCATCTTAGAATCTAGGATTTTTCATGGTGGGATTGGGTGCTTTTGGGTAGAACTTAGGAATTTTAAAATTTGGGGATTTAGACCTCAAATTGAGGTCGGATTCCAAAACTAATTGTCTATCCGGGCTCGGGGGTGAATGGGTAATCAAGTTTTGGTCCGAATTTCGAGTTTTGACCAAGTAGGCCCGGGGTCGATTTTTGACTTTATTGGGGAAAATGATGGGAAATCTATAATTATGCATTGGAATTGGTTTCTTTAGCGTTAATTGATGTTAATAAGCTAATTATGAATAGATTCGAGCGGATTGGAAGTGGAAACTAAGGCAAAAGCGGTATTTGAGGCTTGAGTTTGGCTGTGAAATCGAGGTAAGTATTGTGGCTAACCTTAGCTTGAGGGATTAGGTATTGTTGCCCTGTTTGCTACCCGTTTTGTTGTTAAGTACGACGTATAGGTGAGGTGACGAGTATCTATACGTTGTGGTCGGGTCATAGCATGCAAGTGAGTCTTATACATGTGACCGTTATGTTTCTCTATGCGTACTGTTCCTGTTTAAACTGGTTATTGCTCATGTTAAACAAGTATTTTTTTTATGTTTTCTTGGTTTTGGATATTGGTTGAGCGTTGGCTCAAGTTCTTGCCGAGTTGTTATTGTTTCTGTTGTTTCTTATGTGGCGAGGAAGAGTGATAAAGCACGAAGGGTGATGCCGTGCATATTTCTATTATTCATATCGTGACATTGAGTGTTAAAGCACGAAGGGTGATGCCGTGCACGTTTCCATTATTGATTATCTGGTGAGGTTGAGTGTAAAGCACGAAGGGTGATGCCGTGCACGTTTCTATTATTGATTGCTTGGTGAGGATTGAGAGTAAAAGCACGCGTGCACGTTTCTATTATTGATTGCTTGGTGAGGATTGAGAGTAAAAGCACAAAGGGTGATGCCGTGCATTTTTCTGTTTGTTGTGTTTACTTATTATTACTGGTTCAAAGTGTACTAGTTGTTTCAATTCCTCTACTGCTGTGATTCTTTATTTTGGTACCCCCATAGCATGTTGCCCCTTCCCGTTAATTTCTGCTTAGCTTCTATTAATTGTTATTCTGTTAGTATATTGTTTAACTGCACAGGTTTATGTTATTTGTCGTGTCCTAGACTCGTCACTACTTCGCCGAGGTTAGGCTCGGCACTTACCAGTACATGGGGTCGGTTGTACTGATACTGCACTCTGTACTTTCTGTGCAGATCCCGGTACTGGACCATTCTGATCAGAGTTTTGGTTGCTGCCTTCAGTCCATAGGAGACCCAAGTAGATCTGCCAGCGTTCGCAGACCCTGGAGTCCCCTTCCCTTTATTTTAGATTCATGTTTTCTTTCATTCCGGAAAACAGATGTATTTTCCTTGAAACTAGTGTTTGTAGAAATTGTTAGACGTTTGTGGATTGTGACACCAGATCTTTGGGTAGTCTTGTACTAGAGTATTTAAACTGCTATAAAATTTCCGCACTTCATATTTGCTCAGTCTTAATTATTATGCGTTTCTGTTTTTGTTACTAATTTATGTGTTAGAACTGTATCTGTTGGCTTGTCTAGCATTATAAGAGTTAGGCGCCATCATGATCCCCACGGTCGGAATTCCGGATCGTGACACGCGACTCAAGGACAAAATAAAAAGGAGCAGTAGCAATAAGCAGTAACAAAACATCGGTATAATAATAACAACAATATAATAAAATAACTGAAGCAAAAGAAATAACATGTAGGAATATAACTTTACAAAAAAAAAAAGATTATAAGACTAATACAATTGGCACTGGGACGACATAAATAAATTGTATTTGAATATTTCTAAAATTATAGTATTCCCAAAAATAAAGTAATTATACAAGCTCAATATAACACAAGGGTAATTAAACGATAGAATAGTTGATAATTATATAAATTTATAAATATTCAAAAGTAAAGAGATTAAAAATGCTTGTTTTAATTAATTAAAAGTTAAACGTACTTCCTCAGATATTCATAAGGATTAAAATCAAAATTTATTAATAACTGAAGGACCAAAAGTGCTACTATTAACACTTTATTATATACTCCTATTATAATACCATACCAAAACATATATTCCGCATTAGAAATAAAATATACTGTGGTGAAATATATAAAATATCATTTCTTTTTCCTTTTTTACTTTTTCCTATTGAGAAGCCAAGAACTGGTCAGCACTCAGCATATTTGAGTCTTTTGTTGAGATTTCAATATCTTTAAGGGAGCAGACATTTTTGGGGTTTGCACTTTTTTGAAGTGGGATTATTATCTGATTCCAGCTTTGCTTTGCACAGTATTTGGTGCAACAGCTTCTCTACTTTGTAAAGGTCAAGAATAAGGGCATGTGATCTGAATCAAAGTTAGTTCTTTTGTAGATTTTTAATCTCATATTTGCTTGATTTTTTCAGCTGGGTTTGAGCTATTTCATCTGTTTTTTACTTTTCTCTCTTCTTCTGAGTTTCTTGGAAATTTGGGTCTGAAAAAGGAGGGATTTTTGGAATTTTTTTTGCCTTCTGGGTTTGGTGTATTTACTTTTTGGGTGATTTAGGGAACTGGGTTTTTAGTTATTTGTTTTATTTTTAGGGATTTTGGAGATTTTAGGGTATAGGTTAGAGAAAAGTTGACATTTTTATTAAGGCTGAGGGGGTGGATGAGGGAGGTGGGGTTGAAAGTTGGTGTCTTGGTTTGGTTTTAATGATATCTGAGTTTGATTTTAGGGATTGAAAAATATGGGATTAGGTAGTGATGATGGTGTAAAAGGGGAGTCTTGGGATGTAGGGAAATCAAAGGGGAAGAAGAAGAATAAAGAAGTTGCTGAAGAGGAAACTACTGGATGTTGGACTAAGTTGTGGTTTATTGGTAGCTGTATTTCTTCAAGATCTAAAGTTGATAGCTCCATCAGTGGCATCAGCAGCACCAACTGTGGTAACACTTTTACTCACTCTGTAGAAAGTTGCATGAAAAATTTAATGATTTGAAATTCTAATTGTTATTGTTCTATTGTCTCTTTTCGTCTTCTTGAGCCGAGGGTCTAAGGTCTGCGTACGCACTAACCTTCCCAGACCCGACTTGTGGGATTGTACTGGGTTGTTGTTGAAATTCTAATTGCCCTTCTTTTCTTTGATTCTTTGAGGAAAGTTGTCTTAGAACCAAGAGCATGTCTTTTGGTTATTGAAGTGTTAGTCTCATGCTTTTATCTAGTGAAATGCCTTGAGTTTGGTCAATTGTTATGCAATCACTAGTTGGTAAATTAATAGAGGTGGAAAGTTGGCTTGCTCATATTACTTGTACTGGTAGTAGTTGATGATGTTAACTCAATAGGTTTATAAAGGGACCAATCTAAAGAATTTCAAGATGGACCGCGGAATTTGAAAAATTGCTAGAGGCCTTTCTAGAGTATAATAAAGGAACATCTTTTAAACCTTCCGTTGCAAAGGCACATTTGTTGTTAGGGTGATAATTTTCATATTTGTATTAAAATGCTATTGCAACTAAGCCGCTTATACTTGTCATGTGGTTGGGTATTCTTTACTTTCATGTTTGCGTGTGGAGGGTGTAATTCAATAGCCAGAAATTAGCTTGTATAATGTGAAACTGAAAGAGCTACTTAATTTGTAGTCACCTACCTGTGGGAAGAAAGGAAACAATACCGGGTTCTTTTATATAGTGTCCCATCCTTATTCTTTGTGAATATAACTTTCTAGCATTGGCAGCAATTATCTGATGAATGAGAGAACTTACAACTGATTTCAGGGTTCATTAGCACCCCTCTTGTCTTAGTCTTTGGGTTCTTGTCTTTTCACTTCATCTGAATCCTTCTTCTTTAAAACCCTGAATTGTTTCTTTAAAACCCTTAATTGTATCAATCTTTGGGTTCTTGCCTTTTGGTGTTCATGTGAGTCTTGCCAAGTCTAGTTGTAAAATTATACCGAGTGAGAGAAGTTAGTGATTGCTAGAACTAGCCCACAGTATGAGGACTATTTTGGTTGCAATAGAAGTTAATATCTTCTCTGTTTATGTAGCTTGTTTCAATAATGCAAATCAGAGCACTCCTAGCATCTATGAAAAAAAGCAAATTTGTTTCATTGTGTCAGAGTATTCCACATTGGTTAAGGGAATGAACAGTTGTCTTCTTATAATTTTCACCTTATGAGCTAATTTTTTTTGGGTTGAGTTAGGTTCAGCGTCCATTTTCTTTTCATTACATTAATACCACACTCATTACTATTGTTGTGTTTTCCAATGCCGTGCGCCCATGTTATGTCCGTGCTTCAAATGCTCAGTTCTTGGCATAAGGGTGGGTTTTTTGAGGGAATGAGTTGTTATCTCTTTTTAAGGTCTTCGACAAAATAACTTATGGTTTTGGATAATACTCACCTTATGAGCTAGCTTTTGCTGTGAGTTAGGTCTAATGTCCATTTTCTTATCACATGAATTATCAGTATGCAGTTGAAGTCAGAGATCTCTTGACATTATGATAACGTATCGATAAATAACTGATAACCTCGGGAACTTATTTTTTGTTGGACTACTTGTACACTTGTAGCTCTTATTAATTGTTTAAACCCTTTATTGTAGGCAAAAATTACACGCTTTAACTTCTTATCTTTCTATTTAAAAGAATAAATCTGCCTATATCCTAACTTCTTGCATCGTTGTTTGCAGAGAGTAAATCTACGAATGACACAAGCAGAGATCAACCTGTTGCTCCAATTATTTCATCTACAACTACTAGTAATGCTGAAAGTAATTCATCCACCTCCAAACTTGAAGAGGAACTTAAAGTTTCTTCTCGGCTTCGAAAGTTTGCATTTAACGATCTGAAGATGGCAACAAGAAACTTTAGACCAGAATCCCTTCTTGGTGAAGGGGGTTTTGGTTGCGTCTTCAAGGGGTGGATTGAAGAGAATGGGACAGCACCAGTTAAACCAGGGACAGGGCTTACTGTTGCTGTGAAAACACTAAATCATGATGGACTTCAGGGTCACAAAGAATGGCTGGTTTGCTGCTCTCTTCATTTATTTATAAAATCCTTAGTTCTGTATTTGTCTTTTTCTTCTTTTCAATTTTGGTTTTGTATTAAATGTTATCGCATTTTGCAGGCAGAAGTAAATTTCCTTGGTGATCTCGTTCATCCTAATTTGGTCAAACTGATCGGTTATTGTATTGAAGATGATCAGAGGCTATTAGTTTACGAATTTATGCCTCGAGGAAGTTTGGAAAACCATCTGTTCAGGAGTACGTAACTAAGCTTAATATTTGTGTTCTTGAAAATATTTGATAGTGATTAATATGCAGGAAAATGGATCTTCTTAAAAGATGTGTTTTCCATATTACTACCTGAAAGATGTGTTGTCCGTAATACATGTTACTGAATAATTCTTGTGAATGCACTAGTTAATCTTGGAAGGATATGCCAAAACACCAACTATTAACGTGCATAATGTTGGCATTGTTTGTGAGAATTGCTTTAATTCCAAAGGTCTCTGCTTCGGAATAGAACTTGAATTCTCTTTAAGCTCTGGAGCTATCCATGAATATAGGATATGACAAATTTATTTCTTTCTAATAGAAAATTTCTTAAAATATAATGCAATAAAGCCTTGTAAATTTTGAAATCCAAATGATATATGGGGTTTTCCACATTAGCAGTGCGACTATTGATGTCGGATTCAGATCATTACATGTTTTCTATTCCGTGACTGAACTGATGCTGGATTGTCTATAAAAGTGAGGATTGAATTAGTTTGGTAGTCAGATTTTCTTGCACATTTTAGTCCCAACTCCCAAATCAAAGCCATGGGGAGCTCAAGGACCTATAGGACCAAGAAATGATTTGAGGAAACTTTATAGTCTGCTTTTGTTATTTGATTCTAGAAACTTATTAGTTCTGGTAGTCCTACATCTCATTTTGATAGGCTTAAATACCACTGTTTCAACTTTCAAGACAGGAAGAAAAACATGTCTAGGTTGATTTGGTAAGACATAGAAGTTTGATTGAAGATTTTTCTTGTTTTTTTAAAAAGTGTTTGGTCCTATAAAATGGTAGAAAAATCATTTACTAAGAATTACACTTTGTTGCTGTTGATTCTTGTTAATGCCGACAAGTCAAGTTGACAAACTAATTTAAAAGATAGGATTGAGCTTAGACGTTGTGGTTGATGGTGGAGGCCGTGACCTATGATGTGGATGAGCGAGGGAAGGAGGGAGAAAAAGGGGCAAGGCAGCTCCAGCTACAGATAGGAAGAAAAGAGGAAGGAGGAGATGTTTACCAACTGGGATCAAGGAAAAAAAATGAGATCTTGTACTTTGTGAAAGGTTTTTATGAGGGGTGATGTTTAATTCAAGAAATTTATGATCCCAATGGGAAACATAGCAATTGAAGAAAGAAAAGATAACAGAGTCGAACATCTTGATCAAATAGGCTTGGCCTAGCCCAAAACGCTAGGAAAACTAAGTGGTGATGGCATCGGTAATGTTTTGCTACGTGCCAGACAACTAAAACTGGGTATCTGGACTTGGGTTCTCTTTCTTAATGTAACATTAGTAGTTACACAAGATTTAGCATTTGACTTGGTGTTCAACTTCCTATGAACTTGCTAAAAGTCTTGATCATTGTCAGATACTAGGAATCTGAATACCTTTCTCTTTGAGATGCAATGCAGGAGCTTTTGATAGATGGAGGGTGGTTCAGCCATTAGTAGCCATCAATTTATTTGGGCTGGACAGAAAAAAGTGAAATTGTTGGGGTGGGGTTGGGGGTTGTGGGTTAGGGGGTGTTTCATGGGAAGATAAATGATATCATACTTATATTTCCTGGTTGTTGTTTGAAGCATGCTTGTTGAAATAACCAAAAGATTCAGGCTTTTATAATTTACTTTTTTGCAGTCTGAATGAAGTGTAGTGATAGTGCGCACTAGTCTTGTGAAATTTTAGTTCAAATCTTTATGTTAATATATTGTACGTTCTGCAGAAAATCTTTATGTTCATCATATTCTCTGCTAATAAAGAATATATGTGCAGGATCCATGCCTCTTCCTTGGTCTATCCGCATGAAAATAGCTCTGGGTGCTGCAAAAGGTCTTGCTTTTCTTCATGAGGAAGCAGAAAGACCAGTAATATACCGTGATTTCAAAACATCCAACATTCTGCTAGATGCGGTATGTTTGAACTTTGAATATATTGGAAAAAGAAAAGAGCTTTCCCCTGTAACTTTTCTAATTATGGACTCTCTCTCTCTCTCTCTCTCCCTCTCTCCCTCCCTCCCTCTCTCTCTCTGTCAGGATTACAATGCCAAACTTTCTGATTTTGGCCTCGCGAAAGATGGTCCTGAGGGTGACAAGACACATGTTTCCACTCGTGTCATGGGAACATATGGTTATGCAGCTCCTGAGTACGTGATGACAGGTACGACTGACATCTTGGTTGCTCTCATATTTCACACAATAATTACCCATATGGTTGACTCGACTTCATCAATTTTCATGTGTCACCTCAAGTCTAAACTAGTTGGATGCTGTTCTGCTCGAAACAACAATTTTTTTATACTGGTTCTTCTTGATTTTGAATACCTTTCTGTACAGCTCGATGAGCTGAATCACAGATGAAGAATTTTCGGTTTGTTTGATATTTGTTTACTGATTATAATTTGTCCCGCTCATTTGTCTCAGGACATCTTACGTCAAAGAGTGACGTCTACAGTTTTGGTGTAGTTCTACTTGAAATGATAACAGGTAGGAGATCAATGGACAAGAACCGGCCAAATGGGGAACACAACCTTGTTGAGTGGGCGCGGCCTCATCTAGGTGAAAGAAGAAGGTTTTACAGATTGGTAGATCCTAGACTTGAAGGACATTTTTCTATAAAAGGTGCTCAGAAAGCCGCGCAGTTGGCTGCTCGCTGCCTTAGCCGTGATCCCAAAGCGAGACCTATGATGAGTGAAGTAGTTGAAGCTTTGAAGCCGTTGCCAAATCTTAAAGACATGGCCAGCTCATCCTACTATTTTCAGACAATGCAAGCAGACCGAGTTGGATCAAGTCCAAGTACCAGAAACGGCGTTAGAACACAAGGATCGTTCGGGAGGAATGGACAACAACATCCTAGAAGTCTTTCAATTCCAAATGGTTCTCATGCTTCTCCATACCATCATCAGTTTCCTCAGAATTCACCGAAACCAAATGGCAAAACTTAGTATTGGATTGGCAATTATCTGTTTCTACCATTCTTTTTCTTTTCTCCTCTAGCTATGAATATATTTTGTCCACCCCCCTATTTGTCATTGGATGACTGGCAAAAGGGTAGGAGTAAATTTATTTAAGTTGTGATCTTTGAAAATGCTGAACTCCCACTTGAAAAGAATGTATTGTAAGCAGAGCTCAAGTCCATGGAGTAAATATTTGTGTCCATCTCTCTCTCTCTCTCTCTCTCTCTCTCTCCCTCCCTCCCCCCTACCCCCACCCCACCCCACCCACCCACCCACCCACCCACCACCACCTA